TTGCGTTATTTCAAGCAAATTCGTAATTCCGGTTTAAAACTAATGTTTAAAGCTGCGTCACGGCCATGAGATCTTAGCGTGTATTCCAGCATGTAAACTGGACGTCTGTACCTGGGAGTACCTTGTGACGTCCCAGAATGTGCTGCATTCATTTATGAGTAAGACTTGGTTCAAACCAATCAGCGTGCTCTATTGTGTGTGCAGTGCAACCTAATTAATATGCATGAGCTTCGAAGACTGTTTTTACCAGTTACAGTGTTCAGACGGCAGAGAGACGCCACGTTGTGTTGCCAAAACAAGGGGGAGAACAGGAATTGTTTGGAGATACGAGTCGTCAGTGTTGCTTTTATAATTTGCTGCAGTGAAGGGTTTGTTTTCATTTTCCCTCTATGAGAGCGTATTCTGTGACAGGATTAAGACACACGGCTTTCTGACACTACCTACCGAGTGCATCTAAGTTACAGAGAAATGCTAGGGGGTTTTTTTCCTCTCATTCGCCGTGCGGTAACATTGCATGAAAAATACACGCTTCCAGCAGTTCCTCAAATCAAATATCTTGTTTGTCACAAGCGGCATGAATGAAATTCCCGAATTAAAGAGCCAAACTGCAGTTAAAGTTCACCATTTAATAATTTGGCAAATAATTCGATTACTGATATCCCTGTAAACACAGTCACTGTCTTTCTCCCCTGCATCTGTGTGTTTGTTTTGCCTCTGTGAAAATCAGTGTGTGCCCAAACCGACACTCCCATTTTTATGAAAATTTTTACGGACCTTCCCTCTTTTTTTTCTCCTCTGACACTCCCCTCTTAACAGAGCTGGACACGCCCACTTTCCTGACTTTTTTCAAAGAAGCGGTGTGAAAAAACCCTGCTGAAACTGGGGGCTTTCATGGCCCTTTAACAAAGTGACTTTTATAGACATTTTAGAAGTTTGAAGTAATATATTATATATAAGAAATTATATACAAAGAAATAAGGCTGTAAAATGACAGAAAATGTGCTTGCAGTTTATTACAAGGTTTTTGTAAAATACAACACCACAGACGAGACAATATACCACTAAACTATTAAAATGTTAATAAAATCAACTTTTGTTTTTACCTTTTCAAGGTTAAAATTTGTTGGAAGAAAGATTGAGCACCCATAATGCAACTCAAAAGCATAAAAAATAGGGAAGGATAAAATAAAAACATGAATTACAGAATATGGAAAACTATTAAATTACGGATTTTTTTTTTACTGTGTACTAATGCATATTTTAAAAGAAAATAATAAAGAAGATTCTCTGTAACGTGTTACTAGTAACATTTTTAATAAGTACAATATATTTACTACAAGTACCTAATGGATAATACAAGTATCTAATAGTAAGTACCAGTATAGTGAATAAGTGCTGGTATGAGATGAATACATAGTATTTACTAGTACAAAATGTACTAGTAAACAAAAAACAAGCAAATGAATAACTAGTGCTTTATGGAAAACATACTAGTATGTAAAAATATGTACAAGTAACAAAAATAGGCTAAAACAGCTTGCCACAATCTACTGATAGTATCCTGCTGGCTGCATGCCTTGAGAAACAGTATTGGGTTAAAAATAAATAAGGAGCTCTTATTATGGTCTGATAATCTTCAGCATAAATCACTGGATTTATTCAAAACAGCCAGGGTTAAGTGGGCCAGGTGTGTTTTATCAGATAAGAGCACATTGTGCTCAGGTAATTTATACAGGCCGTCTTGCTTTGGCAGTAATCTTTGAAAGATCTCTAGTAGCCTTACTTGTGGGGAAGATTTAGCTTAAATGCTAGGGGCTCTGAGTGTGTAAAAGACAGCTTGATCAATGCCTGCCTATCAGAAGACCTAAGAACCTTATTTCAGAGAGACGTTACCAGCTGCATCACTCCAGCAAACTCCAGCAATACTAAGATCAAGCTCATAATATGCATAACACACATCTTTAGTTTGCAACATTATGCATTCCTTAAGAAATAGTATATTTATTCAAAGGGACTTGTTTACTTTAATACCTTTGGTGAATTATGCATATACGCCTTTGGGGTTATGCATAACAAACTTGTGCATTCTGTGTATCAGATGTATTTACTTTAGGGTTTTTATGTATATGGAGCGAAGATAAGCATATGTAAATCTCATAAGCAGATAAATAACAGAAATCTTGGATTTTACAATACATGAAAACAGCAGTTCATGCTGTTAAGTTTATAATATATGGTTTTAAAACAAATACATTTGTATAAATTACACTACACTAGTTTGTGAATTTTCATGGTGTAACTAGCTTAACTAAAAAAAAATATTGCATTTGTTGCTTAAGATGCTTAAAATGGCTTAAGTTTGTTAATGCGATGTTCAATATAAAGGTTATTTATTTGTGAAAACCTGAAACAGATATTAAATTAATGTTATTTGGCTGTTTATGGACGGTTATTGTGCAGGGCAGGTCATTTATTACTTATTTAAAAAATAAAAAAGCCCACAATTGCTTCTGCTACCACAGCACATTATACATACATACATTTTCTTTTAGGGTTAGTCCCTTTATTAATCTGGGGTCACCACAGCGGAATGAACCACCAACTTATCCAGCACAAGTTTTATGCAGCGGATGCCCTTCCAGCTGCAACACATCTCTGAGGAACACACATACACTCTCATTCACACACATACACAAAGGACAATTTAGCCTACCCAGTTTACCTGCACCACATGTCTTTGGACTTGTGGGGGTAACAGGAGCACCCAGAGAAAACCTAAACGAATGCGGGGAGAACATGCAAACTCCACACAGAAATGCCAACTGACCCAGCTAAGGCTCGAACCAGCAACCTTCTTGCTGTGAGGTGACAGTACTACTTACTGTGCCACTGGTGGACATACGAAGCCAGCTCAGTCAAAATCGAGCAATCGAGGGGTATATTCATGTAAGCTTCCCTCGTTCATTTATTGAAGTGGAACACGCTTTCTAATGGCCTCAAGAGAAGTTGTTACGTCTATATGATGTTATACAGTTTAGGGACTGATGTTTTGGTTTTGCTGGTTTTGTTTTGCGTTTATAGGATGCGCGGGTTGCCTGTGTTGGATATCAATCATTCGCGACACAGACTGACCAGCCTGATCTCACAAGAAAACGTAAGTATTTTACGTTTTGCCAGTTTAGTGGCTAATTCGAACGAATTCGTACGAGTTCAGTCGTACGAAAAGGTACGATTTTAAAAAGGAGGCGTGGCACCTGACCCCACCCCTAACCCCAACCGTCATTGGGGGATAAGCAAATCGTACTAAATTGTACGAATTAGATCGTACGAATTCATACGAATTAGCCACTAAATGAAAAAGTTACGAATTGCCGTGAGATTGTGTTGGACTGACATGCGATCACGAAATTGAGAGGCGGGACACTATATAAGGAAAATGTCGCATCAGTTTGGTATAGCTGGCATTTTGTGTGAACGTGAGCGGTGTTTGACATTGTTTTATATGCGTGTTCCTTCCCCTTTTGCTTTGATCTATTGTTGTTTGTTTAACTTTTAACTTGTTGATGTTCTTTGTTTGTCTTGCAATATTGAAAAGTTTTGGTTTCAAACTCTTTCGAGAACTGGAGTGTGCACATCAGGGGTGCTCAATCCTGTTCCTGGAGATCTACCTTCTTACAGAGTACAGCTCCAGCCCTGATCAAACACACCTGAACCAACTAATTAGGACCTGAACGGCACTGGATAATTACAGACAGGTGTGTTTGATAATGGTTGCAACTGAAATCTGCAGGAAGGTTGATCTCCAGAAACAGGGTTGAGCACCCCTGGTGTACATCATATACCACACCAGTAAGTTTTGCTTCGGAAAAAGAGAGTAGGTGAGATTCAATGTCTCAGACATTGAAGGTTTACTTTTTGTATTTTGTTTTGTAGTTCTAGGGGAAAAGTTAAATAGATTAGTTTGTCGATTTTTGTTTCATTATTTTCTTTTGTTTAGCACGGTCCCGTTCCCTTTGTCCTCCTTATGTCTGTTAAACTTGATTTATTTTATAAAATCGCTGTTCTTAATTCTTATAACTACTTTTGCGTGAAACTTTATTTTTCTATAAGCATTTAAACATCCACAGCTTGTTCATAATAAAAATGTTCACCTAAAGAGCACTTTTGTGTCTTGTTGTTCCCTGTCTATTTTAAATGGCAGCAATAATTAAAACTGGCTTAATGTTTTCCTTTTCCTTCCCCTTCGTCCATTAAAAAGCAATGGAAAGAATGTAACATTAAAGGGGGCTCGTCCGGGATATATCTATTTATTCCCGTAGTTTACCGGTTGTGATATTGCAGCTATTTTACAGTAGAAGAGGTAATTAGCAGATGGTTTCAGGAATTATTCAGGATGGCAACCTTTGATCTGAAACAGTTTATAGAAAATCCTACTATAGACCAGTTGACTGTGTGGGAAAGATGATTTGTTGGCAGTTGTGAATTGTTTTCAGATCAATGCGAGTAGGCAGTCTTTAAAAAAAAAAAGAAATAAAGAATATAGTGTGTGATCGTCTTGTAGAGATGAATGTGCTTGTTTGTTTGTTGTGCAAGTGTCTAAAAGTGGACTGGAACGCAGGTCTGGTCTAGATGTATGATTCTCACGAACCATACAAGAGGTTGAGGGTTCAAATCCTGGACAAGCCCAGAGTTTTAGCTCAAAATCTAACAACCGCAGAATTGTTTCTCATTACTCATCTACTCACGTACTGCAGCCCACAGCGCCTGTCAGCCATAGCAACTGTAGCAGTGTTCCAAATCTCCAACCAAATGCTTCATGTGCTTATGTGTCTTCTTCAGAAACAGCAGATAACCCCAGCAGCAGGATTTGCTCTTTGCATTTTTTTAACCTTTCACAGGGAAGTGTTTGCTCTACAAGATGTGTATATGCAAAAAAAGCCAGGACAAAAGAAAGTTACACGGGTGCAAAGATTTCCCGATCATTCAATAATTTGGCCATACCTCTATAACAACTTTATTAGCATTGTATTAATTTCTGGCATAACACAGACATCATTTCCTGTTTAAAATGACTTGCGATGAATGTAAGTCATCTGCCAATTGTTCGTCACTGCATAATGCATCGAGTTTTTATAAAATCCTTTTGTGTTTCATCCAGTTATACGTTGGACTGGCGAGATCAGATGTCAGTTATTGTTAATCTGCTCCTCCTGATAGGTGGAGGTGGAAATTGCTCCGTACGGATCCACAACGGTTTGAGCACAACGCACGATGGTGCCAAACAAGAACAGGCAGAGGAGAAAAAGAAAGAAGAGGGCAAAACCCAAATCCACATCGACCTCCACCCATGCCGGTGGCTCAGGCTGGTCCATCTGCCAATCTCCAAGGTGGCTCGTGCTAAGAAAAAGATCCACCAGAGCTTTTCAATTAAAGTCCACTCCAAACCTAGACGGATCATTCTCCCACAAAAGTAATTGAGATGTTATCCACCCTACCTGTGTTATTATTTCCTTGAAATCGTGTCAAAATCCTTTGGTGGAACTGGGACAGAGTGCAATAGTGATCCCTCTGGCAAGTTTGACGGTTTCTTTGTTTTTGTTTTGATAGGAGATCTTCGGTGTATCCTTGCCAATTGGAAGTGGAGTGCAGAATAAAGCACCATCACCCTGATTAAGAAGGAACATCATTATCAAATTAAAGCTGTAACACCATACAGGTAACTTAATATTTGTCGTCCACATTTGATGTCAGATTAATTAAGGCATGATTGAACGCTATATGAATTATAAATCAACTGAAATATGAATAAACTTGACTGGCCGTCAGTTTGTGGCATTAGTTCATAAACAAACAACAGAAAGACGGCATATGGGTGCTAAAGGGTATGATATCTTCTGAAATAAGATGTGCAAATATCAGCTTTTGACAAAACTACATTTATTATCTCAACAAAAGTGTTTTTTTTTGTGAAAACGGTTATGTCAAGCAAGAGAAATTGTGCTCCTTTGAGGCACATGGTCATTTTTGTAATTGGATTGATTAGTATCTATTGATTTAGGGGCATTTACACAACACCATTTTTTATTAAATCTGAAAACAGTGCATTGGCATGGCAATCAGATGAATTTTTAAATTTTGTGGGAAATGTGTGAACATTGTAATCTGTACACAAAACCTTTGAAAATGCAAATGAATCAACAACATAATTGTCTTGTAAATAGGTAACTAATTATAACATACATTTCTCTCACATGATGAAGGAAATATTAAAAAATAAAAGTTTTTGTTTTCACGCGAACCTCATTTTTTATAGTGTTAAGAAAAAAAATGTAATCTAAAGAATCTTTTTTCTCTGTGTAAAGAACTTTTACAGTTTATGTTTGAATTTCTTCACAGAACCATCAATGGAAATAAAGAACCTTTATTTTCTTATTTTAAGAAGGTAAATGTAATGACTCCATTAAAATTGGCAAACTCTCTAATTCCTTAAAAATTCCCCTACACACCTATAACATTCATCACTATTCTTGACATCAGGGCAGGCTCAGATTAAGAACTCAGATGGCTCTGGGCACATTGTCTTGTAAGGCCCCCTACCCAACCGCAACCCTATAGTTGAATTAAAAAAAAGAAAAATATTTTTAAATAAAATGAATGTGTATACACACACACACACACACACACACACACAATTAGCCCCTTTAAGCAAAAAAAATATATAAAATTCGATCTACAGAACAAACCATCGTTGTACAATAACTTGTCTAATTACCCTAACCTGCCAAGTTAGCCTAATTAACCTAGTTAAGCCTCTAGATGTCACTTTAAGCTGTGTAGCTGTCTTGAAAAATATCAAGTAAAATATTATTTACTGTCATCATGACAAAGATAAAATAAATCAGTTATTAGAAATGAGTTATAAAAATTGTTATGTTTAGAAATGTGTTGAAAAAATATTCCCTCCGTTAAACAGAAACTGGAAAAAATAAACAGGGGGGGGCGAATAATTCAGGGGGGCAAATAATTCTGATTTCAACTATATATATATATATATATATATGCGTAGATTTAACATTTTTCAAAGCATTGAAAAAAATACTAATAAAACTAGTGAAAATGTATGTTTTTTAGTATACTTGTTCAAGTATAAACTTATAAAGCATATTATTGGCATGGCATATAACATACAATGCTTCTCCAGTCCAGTTCTATGGGTCTGAGTCTTTCATAATACACACATTTATCAATAATTTACTGTCTCTCTCCTCCTCTTTCTGTATTTTCTCTACTCTCCTCGTGATGAAGAGTAGGCAAACAGCATAGATCACTTTAATTATAAACCTAATGTTGCTAACATTTACCACCAGGTGGAAAATAACTGTTTATAGACTATAATCACTATTTAGATGGTGTTACACATATGAAATAGGCTAACGTTAGCATTATTAAATACCCACGAGGCACTTGTGACTTAATATCACATTTGCATTCTTTTTTTAAAATGTTTCTTTCCTATTAAAAATAAATATATTTCCAATCTGATATGTAATGGGGAGAGAAAAATTAGCATGAGTACAGCAGAAGGTGGATTTGAACCAGGTTGATGATCGATCGCGTCAAAAGATGTTGCTGTGCGCTTTACGAGGGACGCCACTCATGCTGTAATCCTGCTTCGCTCTGTACTTGTGTTGGCCCAGGTCAATCAGGCATTGATGATTGTAAACCGTGACTATAGCTTATTTCCAACTAGGCGCGCTATTTACAGTTAGCCGAAAAAGACACTCCGAAATGTACATTTTTTTCCTCTCCTCACAGGGGCCCCGAGTGCACATGGCTTAGTTTTTGCAATGACTTAATTATTTTATATTCAATTCACTTTAATGTGTAAAAACTCAGTTAACTTAATTCCTTCATGTTGCCCCAGCACAAATCAAGTGTTGAACCCAGTATTTTTACAGCGTAACAAATTGTTGAGATAGAGTGCAGGAAAGCTTAAATTCTGTGTGTGTGTGTATTTGTTTGTGTGAGAGAGAGAGAGTTTACACTGATATGACATTTAATGTATTAAATGTGCACCGTTCATCATTTCAGCTAGCTTTAAGTTTAATAGAATAACATCAAAAACTATGGTAATTATGTTTTATTTAACTAGACAAAATATATTTGTTTAATATTTGTTTGTTCAAACAAATGAGTTGAAACAACAATTGCAGAGATTTCGCTGAGACAGCTTAATTGTTTTATGTTCAATCCACTTAAATTGCCAAGTTAACTTAATTTGTGTCTAGACAACAGAAATAAATTGTGTAGACCCCTGCATTTTTTTAACAGTGTAATACTGTATTTCTTATAATAACTGACAGATTCCAACCAAAATAAATCAATTAAAATAAATTACAGTCACACGAAGTGGGAATTAACAGGAGTTATTCTTCTGGCATTGGGATGGGACCGTATATTACCCAAAGTTTATGTTTGTTTGTTTTTTCAACCCAGGCTCATAAATCCCAGAAGGTACGTTTTTTTGTGATTTTTGTTAACGCCAGTCCGCTGTGTATGCTTTCTTATTTCTCATTCTCAAACAGCACCTGCTGTTCTCACGTAAATCCACCAGAGGCTGCTGTCGACTGACTGACCGATCAACTGACCCACCCTCCTTCTTTTTAAAACCCAACCAATAGTGTTTTCAAAAGTACCGATTGACACACCCATTCACTACCCTAAAGCCAACCGACAGTTTTAAAAAGTGATCCAGAAAAAGAAAAACCCTCGCAGCAGCCTGATTTTTACCACGTTTTCAGATTTTACCACATTCTCACGCTGTTATTTACTTGTTTATCGTATTTTTTTAGCTTTTGTTTTACCTCCTTTCTAGAAGCTTTTGTCACCAGACTCAAACTCCGTTGTCACTGTCAACTCTGCTCCACGCCACAAGTCCGCTGACATACATGGCTAGCCACTGGACAAACTGGTAACAGTGGGAAAGCCGTCCACACGGATGTAAGCGGTCAGCTGCTAGCACGAAAAGGAACAGCGTCACACCACCCTGTACCGTTCATTTTTAAGGATGAAATGCAGCCATATCTACCTCTGGCTACATAATTCGCAATCTCCAGATATGTATACAGGGCTACGTTTTCAGAATGAGCCCATGTTGGGTTTTTTTGGGGTAGTGGGACAGGGAGAGATCTAAAAACACACTCCTGTGTCACCCTCTAGCTTCCACTCAATTACCTATTTTCACTTTCACCTCTCACAGACTTTCAGCTGAATCTCATTAGCCATGCTAACCTCTACACGATACACATCTCTGCCATCTGACAATCTTTCAGTCAAACATCTCGGCTCTTCAATCACCCCAGCTCCACCTCCATCAAACCTGGCGTTTTGCATATTTGCAACCTCCTCCTGGCACCCAAGCCGTTATGAATAGTTTAACAGGAGTTGAATGACACTGGGTTTAGTCTGGCCGAGGATCAAGCTTTGCCCTGTACTGGTTTTAAATGTGCTCCGTAACTCAAGCAGGCCTCCAACCCAAAAAAGGTAAAGACTCCCCCAGGAGAAAGGAGCGGGACAGAAGAGCGATGACGAGAACGGAAAGACAATACACGACTGCAATCAAGTTGGCCACCAGGGGCAGCGTGAAGGGAAATGGAGTCAATGCAGGGAGGCGACAGCGTTAATTTGATTGGACACCAAGCCAGAAAACTGATAGATGTAGTAAAGATATCACCCTCTCCAGTTGACTGATGGATTCTACTCTTACATTCAGGAGAAAAGAGGAAAGATGGAGGAAACATTGGAGTGATGGGCGATTTCCAAAAGCGCTGATGAATAATGAACAGTCCCAAAGAGATTTAATTAGGGTAACTGAATAAAGCTTAGCCAATGCACAAGTATTCTGGTGCCCCACTGAGGGAGATCTCATTTCAGGCACTACAGACTCGTTTAAAGAATTACGTCCACCCCAGCCGTTTTGGAATAACTTACTGGTACAGTGAAACTTTACTTTGATAGTTCTCAGTTTTGTTGACTAAAGTTTGCATTGCAACTACATGCCCGTTTATTTTCAGTTGAGTATTAGTAGACTGTCTGCTTAATATCTGTTTAATAACAGACTTTAACTGATAAGAAACTTTGCAAGTACATGTAAAACTGACACTAACCCTAACCTAACAGTCTACTTGTATTCTAATCATAATTAGTTGGCATGTAGATGCAATGTAACCTACTGTAAATTCAACAAAATGTGTTAAAGGCACCATCAAAATAAAATGATACCAACTTATGGACTGGAATTAAAACATATTAAAAGTTCATATATATATATATATATATATATATATATATATATATATATATATATATATATATATATATATATACATTTATTTATATATATATTGTATCCATTTCTCAGTGAATATTGCCAATGTATTTAACAGATATATTTATTAAAATAATATTTTAGTCACCAAACATTTAGATATGGAAAGATAACACAATTAAATACAAGCTAAATATTACAAAAAAAAAGTACAACCTAAAACAATTCAACTAAATCTTTCTCTCTTTTTTTTTTTTTTTTTTGCTTCTCTTGATTTTTCCTCTTTTTTAAATTTGTATTTCATATTTTTCTATAACATAAATTTGGCTCTACTAGTTTTTGGACCGTTATCGTAAGTAATTTTGTTAGATGAGCTCCAGATTTGGCTTCAGTACTGACTAATATAATGTAGCTGCACAAATATCATATTGTATAGCTTACTATTAAAAATATGAATTAAAAAAACTGATTTGTGAAGGGTGTACTTATATATGCTGAGCACTGTATATTCTAATGATAATTAGTTGGCATGTAGATGCAGTGTAACTTAAATTCAACAGAATGTGTTTAAGGCACCATCAAAAGTGACACCAACTAACGGATTGGAATAAACAGATATGAAAACAGTGCATTATTGATCCGTTGAATATACATTTCAGGTAATTATAGAAATCTATGTACATTCACAGTTGAAGTCAGAATTTTTAAACCCCCTCTAAATTTTATTTTTTTATATATATATTTTCTAAATAATCTAACAGAGCAAGGAAAGTTTCACAGTATGTCTGATAATATTTTGTCTTCCAAAGAAAGTCTTATTTGTTTTACTTTGGATAGAATAAAAGCAGTTTTTAATAAAAAAAATAAGAAAAAACATTTTAAGGTCAAAATTATTAGCGTCTATATATTTTTTTTGATAGTCTACAGAATAAACCATCGTTATACAATAACTTGCCTAGTTAACCTAATAAGCTTTTAAATGTCACTTTAAGCTTTATAGAAGTGTCTTGAAAAATATCTAGTCAAATATTATCTAGTCATCATGGAAAATATAAAATAAGTCAGTTATTAGAGATGAGTTATTATGAATTATTATTATGAATATTATGAATTATTATGTTTAGAAATGTGTTGAAAAAATCTTCGTTAAACAGAAACTGGGGAATAAATTAAAGGGGGGGGATGGGGGGGGCAAAAAATTCAGGGGGGCTAATAATTCTGACTTCAACTGTATATATACTTTTTTATTTTAAATGCTTACATTACATTTGAAATACAAACAATATTTCTCAAAATTGCACACATATACACACACACACACACACACACACATACACATATATATATATATATCATTTTTATAAGTAATCAAAAGGTTTTAAATACATAAAAATACAAATGTAATATATAAATTATAATAATAAAATATAAATATAAAACATAAAAAAAAAACATTAAAAAAAATAAAATACATAAAAAATACCAAGATTCTGGATAAGAACTGTCCATTCCTACTGATTTTCCTGAAAAAAGCACAACATTTTAATAAAAAAACAAAGCTTGAAAATCATCTTTGAATTAGATCAGGGCTAAATGTTCTGCAGATGAATACATGCGTATGTACAGTGTAAATATGATTAATAATTACATTTATTTGTATTACTTCTACAATATAATTAACAGAATTTTTGTTGATATAAATTATATCTACATTAAACTCGTATCTACGTGTACTCCATATAGTATAAGGTGTTTGTGTGTGTGTGTGTTAAATAATCAATAAAAAAGGTTGTTGATCAGCAAATAAAATGATTTCTGAAAGATCATCTAACACTGAAATTTTATACCCCCCCCCCCCCCAAATATTCACCTATAGAGATAATATATTATCAAATATGAAATGTGGTTTTAAAATATGTCACAATATTACTGTATTTCCACCAAATAAATGCCTTCATGACCATAAGAAACAAAACAATCATGACAACTTTGACTATTTGACATAAAACATTCCTTATTTTCATAACAAGTAAATCTGAAAAGATTGATCTATAATTATTTCCTCAATAAAGCCCACAGTTAATCATGTTTTGTTTTTCATATAAATGAAGCCGCTCGAATTGAATAATCATGTGTTATCTAAAACTAATATTGTGCACTCACCTGTTTCACACGTGCCATCCCATTCTCCTCAGACGCCGAACAAACCCTATTTACATAAAGGACAAACAGGCTAGCGGATGATTAAAGTGACCTGCAGGCCAGAGAGAGCTGATCGGATCTGCAGCAGAACTCAACTCGAGCCGCTCTCACCTTTATGTGTGTGGAGGCAGAAAAAGACACACGCCGCATTAGCATACCGGACCAATTACTGGCAGTATGTGATCACGCTAATTGCCGACCCCGGATCAGGTTTCAGCCCATAACCCTACATTAAGGTTAAGAGTCATAGCGTGGTCGGTAACCGATCTGAGATATTAAAGTGGCAGTTAAGCGAAATGTGGATCAAGCTTCATTACACAGGGGAGAGTCGGGTGAACGCGCTGGCAAGGAGGAGAGACACTAATATTTTAGATTGTTGTCGTACATTCCAGAAATATTTAATAATAATAATAATAATAATAATAATAATAATAATAATAATAATAATAATAATAATTAAAATGGGAGACATATTTTAATAAAAGCTTCTTTAAATTCTTTTTAAGTTTAGCTTGTTTAGTATCAGAGAAGGAAAAATGGTCAGAATTGTCAGATATAAAAAAAAAAAAAAAATAGTTTGTATCTAGTAATCTGGCATTCTTTGGGTTTATATCTCCAAATTAAGATTTTACTTCATCATCCTGATTCATTTCCTCAGAATTTTGAGATATTAACTTAGAAACTTCAGTAGTTCTTAGCGATGCTTAAGGTTTTCTCAAATTTTGGACTTTAAATAAATAGAAATAAGTGTAGAAATTAATGTACTTTGTTGAAGACAAAATGATGAGCCCTCTTGTACAATTAAGTCTTTTAAAAATATTTTCCAAGTGCTGTTACAGAGAGATTTGTCAGCACCTTTTTAAATATTAGTTAAGCGTTCTCACACTATTTACAGTTACCTTCAACCAGGACAAAGCACACTTGTCTCCCCCTCCCATCTTCCCCAAAGGCCCGCACTGACATTGCATTCGCGCCCGAGTGTGCTTACATCATTGATGATGCGCTGTTTAGTAAGAAGCGCTTTCGCTCAGCACAGTGGAGATTTCTTTGTTATATCATTTTAGTCATTTGATATGCAGTGATACACAGTCAAATATTTCGCCAAACAGATCAGCCACTTTTGACGCTCATAAACAATCATAAAGTCCTCGTGCTGCAGGAATTAGGAGGTTTGCTGAAGGTGCAGCTGTCAAGAAGTGAGGGATTTGTGTCTTTAATAAATTAACAAAATATCTGCCAAAATTGAAAATGAAATGAAATTTATCCCTGTCAAATCGATAAATAAAATGAAGTTGCCGATTTAACATTTAATTTTCACTGCATTTCCGCGTCAAGACTGCCAATATTAAAATAAAAAGCCAAACTGAAAAATAAAATGCAAACACAATTTTTACAAGGCTTGTTATTAACATTCACGCTATAATCGGGACACAATTCAAATTAAAACGCACATTTAAGTTTTCCTTTTATTGACACTTTTAATTTTTCATTTGCAACGTCAACGTGTATGCAAAGCCTATGTTAATCAGTGGGAGGGGCGTATTCAATTGACGTTGAGTGTTTTCAGAGTCCGAGAGCAAAAGCACAGTTTTGATAGATAAGACAGACAGATATTTAGTGAACAGTGTTTTATAATAAAATTGTTAATCTGGTTTTCATTTTAATCTCCAATGCTTATTTGATTTATTTAAAATTGGCAGGATTCACCGTCCATTTGATACTACCATTCAGATTAAATTACAATTTAAAAGCTAGGTTGACCAGGGAAATTAGGTTAATTAGGCAAGTCATTGGAAAACAGTTGTTTGTTCTGTGGCCAATTGGAAAGAAAATTCCTTCCAGATGCTAATAAAGTTGACAAAAAATTATTTTATTAAATTAATTTATTACAAAATGCATTTATTCCAGCCAAACTAATACAAATAAGACATTTTCTCCAGAAGAAAAAATATTATATAGAAAATTCTGTGGAAAAGTTCCTTGCTCTGTTAAACAGAGTTTGGGAAATATTTTATTAAAAATTTCAAATTAGGGCTTATAATTTTGCCTTTATCTGCTTTATATCTACACATTATTGAAATGAGAGAGAAATTTGTATGAGAAATATCACACAAGTAGCAGTGTAATGTGGCTGTATATCTGCACTAGTGGGAGGCGTGCGTTGCCTTAGTGTCCCACCAGTGACGATATCCAGCCATATCACACTGCTACTTGTGGGATATTGCATTTATACAGCAGTTTGACGGCACAATTGTGTGTATAAAAAAGAAAAGAAAAAAATCAAACACGGAGAGTCTCAAAATCCTTTTATATGAGGATGGATATATTTATATCCACCATTCATTCACATCTGCAGCTGATGTCAGAACAGCAGAACCCGTTACTAATTCACTAACATCTTTTTAGAGCTGTTGTTTGAATGATTCTTTAGAGTAATGTCTAAAGTGATGATAAAACAGCTGATTTTGCTCACATTTTAAGATTATAAGGCTGAACAGCAAGAAATGCCATCAGTCTAGAAACATATTTCTGTTGCAATCGGGATATCACAATAATTAACCCCGAAAAAGCCAAAGCAATGCAAACACTAGCAGATTACTGTTGTGTTTGCCATAAGGGAGAACACTAAACACATGCTGGCATTTCTTCTTTCTTTCTTTTTACTGAACTAGTCTGCGGTAACAAAAACAAAAATAACTCAGGATTATACAAAGAGTGATCAGCGCAAAATACATACATTCCTGATATGCGAGTCCCATCACACACTAAATACAGTAAAATTATATGGTATAAATACAGCACGACAATATACAAAAGAGAGAGATCGACTTGGAATGTAGCTTACCTGTTTTATAATGATTTGATCAGCTAGAATTTTAAATTGCGCTCAGTTTTTTCTCCTCTAAAGGCTTATTATCTGGTCTCTGTCGCCATCTTGTGGATGGACAAGAAATGGATCCTGATGCGCTGTCTCAGAAATTATAAATGAGCACTGTCCTTATAAATAAACTGCATAGATGCAATCTAAACTACATTCTCGCCTAAAAAGCCTCAAAAGTACATTATGTTGTCCAACAGCTGCAACATTTGTGGTAACTGTGGTAAGGTTATTGATCTGCTGTCACTATGCGGGTGAAGTAATACAGAAAGGTGAGGAGGCTGTACCAGTGCTGTTACTGCAGAAATATTGCATGACTATCAGCCAATCAGATTCAAGAACCAGACAGAACTGTTGTATAAATGTAGGTATATATTATGGTTTCCACAAAAATATTAAGCGGAACTACTATTGTTAACATTAATAATAATAATAAGAAATATTCAATCAATTCATCACATTAGACTAACTTCTGAAGTAAAAATGCTAACAATGCAGCTTTACATCAGAGAAATAATCAAATATTTTAATATGTTCAAAAGCAAAGCAGTACAATTAAACTATAATAAAGACGTCACAATATTGCACGGTTACAAATTTGGTTCAATAACTTTGCTTTAACATTTTAGAAATCTTATTGAGCAAAAACACTTCACAGCAGATGTAATTGCAGTGTTTAAACATACAAATGAAAAAAAAAGACGACAAATCAAACTGTCATCCACAAGAATGTTTACTTTCATCACTGAATAAGGACGATACAAAATCCAACATAAAACACTGGCAGTCGGGACACTGATGGGATGTTTTGTTTGTGGCAGGTGTGTGTGTGTGTGTGTGTGTGTGTGTGTGTGTGTGTGTGTTTGGGGTTGGTCTTGGCACCAGGCCACAGAATAAGAGAGAGATGATCTAAACTGGATGTAAACAGGAGGATAAAGCCTAAAAATCGAAAGTAGACAAAGGTGAAGAACAAACACACAAGGAAACAAAACAAACTTACAATTACAAATAAGGCACTTGTGAAAACATTTGGAAAATAACGCTGAAAAGCCAATCCAGATGCCCCATTCCACTCCAAACGAAACGGAGTTATTCACCAAGCACCTCTGGTACTGAAAGTGATGTTCATGTCAACAGGAAAAGAAACAAAATAAATAAATAAAAATACTGGACCACGTTTTTTGTAAACCTGTCGCTTGAATTAAAAAGAAATCACGAGGAAAGATGAAGTCAAACTTTTGGTGGATTGTAACACTATAAAAAACAGTTTACCCAGAAACGAATATTCAGTAATGATAACGATCACTACAAACAAGTAGTATGTTATTCTGTGAAACATTAATTATGATTATAAGAAATGTTTTTGTCTATAGAAATGTCTATAGGAAGGTATGTTAAGAGTTCCAATGTTTTTGTTTTGAAAAGGACCGAATATGTGGAAGCTTGTTTTCACCACAGAATAAAAGTAAAGGTAATTGCATCTTTTGAATTCACAATTCAGACTTTGTGCAAATTTTGCATTATATTAATCTCACGTTTATACCTTGATATTTTGAATTAGTAACAATTTTTGTACTTTTCTTCTCAAAATAATGATTTTACATTCAGAATCTAGCCAGTAAACTAATACAAAGTCATAATTCAGAAAAAAAACAAACATCTGAATTGTATATTAACAGTAATATAAACGTCACTGAAAATAACGCATGGTTCCAACACAATTTATTCATGTTGTCCCAACAACAGTTAGGTTAATGCAGGCATGTTCAATCTTGGTCCTGGAGGGCCGGTGTCCAGCAAAGTTTAGTTGCAAGCCCAATCAGACACACCTGGGCTAGCTAATCAAGCTCTTACTAGGCTTTCTAAAAACATCCTTGCAGGTGTGTTGAGGCCCTCCAGCACCGAGATTGGACACCCCTGGGTTAATGTAACAAACTTAAGCGGACTGAACTTAAAATAATTATTTTGTACCAAAAAAAAATCTTACGAATTGTGTTGTTTCAGCTCATTTTATACAAGTAGTTTGAACAAGCAGCAAATATAATATTGAGTGTTGTAAACTGTGGGGAAAAGTTTGTCTAAACATTTCTGTTTCAAATTGTAAAAAAAATAATAAATAAATAAAAAAAATTTCAACTTTTTTTTTTTTTTCGCAAATTACAACAAAACATTGAGTGTTATAAATTGCGAAAAAGTAAAAAAAAAATTGAATGTCGCAAATAGCAAAAACGTTTTGACTTTTGCAATTTACAACACTCGAAAAATGTTTTGTTGTAATTTGTGGAAAAAAACAAACTCAAAACATTTAAGTGTTTTAAATTGTGAAAAAAGTCAAAACTTTTTGAGAGTTGTAAATTGAGAAGTTAACATTTTTTTCTAATTTTGCAAATTGTGAAAAAAGTCACTCAAAAATGTTTTGACTTTATCCCAGCAAATAACAAAATTGTTTTTAAAAAAAATTCAAAATATGTAAAAAAAAAAAAAAAAAAAAAAAAAAAAAAACTTTGACTTGCAATTTACAACGTTCACTTTTTTAGTTTGAAATGTTTACTTTTTTTTGCAGTTTACAAAAAGTTTTGACTTTCACAATTTATAACACTCAAAAATGTTTTGACTTTTTTCCCCGCAAATTACAACAAAACGTTTTTTTTTTTTTTTTAATGTTGTAAATTGCGAGAGAAAAAAAATTCACTCAAAATGTTGACTTATTTCCCCAAATTACAACAAAATATTTCAGTGTTGTAAATTGCAGGACAAAAAAAAGTTACTCAAAAAAAAATATTTTGACTTATTACAACTTATTACTTGACTGCAAATTACAACAAAACAATAAAAAAAAAGGAGTATTGTATATTGAAAAAAAAGTCAAATTTAAAAAATAAATAAATAACAGTTCTATGAAAAAAAATGTCTGGCTTCAAAGATGTTAGCTTACAACTGAAAGATTTAAACTTCAATTTGCAAGAAAAAAGACACAATTGCAAGATGTTAACAACATGTGACTGTCACAGTTACGAGAAAAGGTTACAGTTACCTGTTTTCTTTTGAATTTTATGCAGAAACAAGCTTCCATTTGAAAAGTTCATGCTTCAAATGTGAATTTGCATTTTTGGGTACACTAATTCTACAAAGTGTTGCATGACCTCATGTAAAGCAGCAGACACTGGGCAAACAGTACATACTGGAGGAAATAATGCATTCATTCAATAACTGAACACCATTTATGGAAAGCATGGAATCATCTTCCCATAAACACAACAGATTCAAGCCTCAGACTTTCAACTGTTGTCACAAATATTATAATGCATCTGAAATGATACGTTACTAAGTGCACTAATCTAGCACCCAATACTGACAATCATCAATATCATTTATAGAAATGGAAGAGTCAAGAGTTTCTTTTTTTCTGGCCGAGTATTTCAATTGTCTTTTTTTTTTTTAAACAAAGCAATTTACTGCAGAAACGATCAGCTTATCAGACTTGCTGAAAATATCTGGACCATAAATAAAAAGAAAAACGACTGAAAAGGAAAATCATTCAGAATAATAATAATAATAAAAAAATCTTTAAAATAACTTGTCTACACAGAAACGTGTTACAGGAGGACACACACTGACCAAAACACAAACAAATATCAGATATTAGACGTCGCTTAGTTCATAATCAACATGACAACAACTGGACAAACGTTCAAAAAAAAAAAAAAGCAGCACACCGATTCAGAGAGTCCGGGACGGGGTTCTACCAAATTAAACCGTCTTCTTGAGTGTTTTTATAAAAAGGTAGTGTGGCAAAACTGGGTCAAAAATGTCAATTAGTGCAACCGCATTGAGTTCTAGAAATAAAGCAGACATGTGAAGGTCACTTAGTGAATCTCTTATATTGTAAAGTGGACACAAAAAAAAATTCCAGTCAATCTCCGCCAACGTCAGAACTCAAATACTGAGGGATTCTGAGAAATCTGACCAGAAAGAATGAAATATGATTTCTAGTGTGTGTGTGTGTGTGTGTGTGCGATGCCCAAAACAACATAAAGGAACTGAGATCGAATAAACTGGAGGAAATATTACCAGTAAAGCAAGGCAACCATCAACAAAACAACATTATTTAAACATGGGGCCTGTTAATAGTGTTTTAAATGTGGGGAAAGGGTTACACCAATCCTCTTTCTGGAAGTTTGTCCGTTCCACAGCATTAGAATGGTGCGTGTTTGTGTGTTTTGGATCCGTCAGCATGAGTCTGTTGGTCTGTAAGGCTAGTGTTGTACCTCTTCTCTCATCACTCAGTCTTACGGTGATGGTTGTTGTTTAGTGGCGAGTGGCCGTTCAGGACTGGTCCATTTTTCACTCTCCTGTCCTTCTCGTCTTCCTCATCATCATCCTCAGAGTCTGTTTCTTCTCGGTCGCTCCTTTCGTCCTCCACTATATTCTGCAAGAATGACAAAAGCGTTAAAATGGCAATATATTTGGCACAATTTCATGCATTTGGTTCAGAACACTTAAAGGGACAGTTTACAAAATGTCCCCACAAGTATATAATACCAGTTAATTTTTGAACTTGTTGTGACATTTGGTTTTGGGTCCTCATGAGGAAAACAGCTCATTAATGAACGGCTCAGATTGAAGTATTTTGAAAAGGTAAAAATGTTGATCATTTCCTGTGAGGGTTGGGTTTTTATTGGTAGAGGGAGAGAATATATAGTATTTACAGTAAAAAACTCAACACTCGACATGTGTGTGTCATATAAAATGAGCTATTTTTCATAGTAGTAATTGGTAATACCTAAACACAGCGTACATGACGGTAGGCATGGAACGATAACCGTTTTCAAGGTAAACTGCTGTTTAAAAAAAGTCAAGGTATTAAAACCGCCCCAATTTTCCGCTTTACCGTTTCTGCTGTATTTATAAGGTGTTTTTAGGTTTGTTTGTTAAGTTTTTTAGTATTAACAGGATCTTCAGCAGAAAAGATATCCAAGATGTCGTTTTAAATTGTAATGAAATCTGTGTTCTTACAGTGGCCGAGAGAGCTTATGTTTGTTGTAAAAAGTATAATAATGACAAAAAACTACTAATTTGCTCATCTCCATTTGTGCAATTTTTACCCCTTGAAACTGAGATTTTTCAGGACTACACTCAAATCCAAGGGGTATCTAGCCCTTCCCTTTAGCCCTACAAGCCTCACAAGTCTTCAAGCTAAAGAGAATTGGGACAGATTAAGGGGGAGGGCTAATGGGTAGAATTGGAATTGGGCCTTAGTCTCAGTGACCAAATTAGAGAACTTATCTAATACACAATGGCTTTATAAAACTGCCATAAATAAATATCAAACATTTGACAAATGTCTATACTGACACTGTTAATTAATCAATAAAAACAAGATGCTCTCATTTCTGAAAAACAACAAAAACAAAATGGTGACCTGAAGACCGGAATTGAGAAGTTACCATGAGAAGTCATTTACAGCTGAAGACAAAATGATCCTTTTTTTATCCTTATTTTTTTTTCTTTTTTAAATTTTTCACAAATGATGTTTAACAGAGCAAGGAAATTTTCACAGTATGTCTGATAATATTTTTTCTTCTGGATAAAGTCTTATTGTTTTATTTCAGCTAGAATAAAAGCTATTTTTATTTTTTTTTTAAACCATTTTAAGGTCAAAATTATTAGCTCCTTTAAGCTATATTTTTTCAATTGTCTACAGAATAATCCACAGTTATACAATGACTTGCCAAATTACCCTACCTTGCTTAATTAACCTATTTAAGTCTTTAAATATCCCTAAGTTGAATACTAGTTTCTTGAAAAATATTTAGTAAAATATTATTTACTGTCTTCATGGCAAAGACTAAAGAAATCAGTTATTAGAGATGAGTTATTAAAACTATTACAGTTTGTTTTTAAAGTGTTGAAAAAAACCTTTCTGTTCAATAGCAGGGGGGGGGTGCTAACAATTCAGGAGGGCTAATAATTCTGACTTCAACTCTACATCAAATATATGTAACCTTAACATTTGACTTTAAGGGTCAATTTTGCCTTTGGGTTTAAAAAAAACATCACATCCCTGTAACTACTGTGAGTCAAAGACCTAAACAAAAGCAAAGCAGTGCAGTTTGTACAGGTTGACTTACATTGCCTGGCAAAAATTTGATAGCCATACGCAGGATGAGTACGGCCCAGAAGATGTGCAGACACTGCAGCACAAACAGCAGCCCGTTGAAGAAGTAATACCCAAAAAACGGAGGATAAACAGTCACCGGATACACCCAGGTGCAATGCAGGATCCTGAAAGACACGCACAAAATAAAAATAGAGTTTCCCATCTGACATTTACCCAACAGCAGATGGAGTTCATTACCACAAAGGTTTCCTGCATAATTAAAGAGTGGCATTTAACCCGAAGTTTGAGCCGAATTCCTATTTATAGATCTTTCATTTGATATTACGGCAGCAAATCATTTGAGCTCTCTTGACAAACACTGAAAAGTGGGGCGATTAATGTTTTATAGGTTTAATAATACACGCACCAAAAAGGGAAGATGACGAGTCTGGTGATGATGAAGATGGCAGCGAAGATGATGAATATGTAGTTGCAGGTTTTCCTCCAGCCGGCGTAGTTGAACATCTTGGCAGACTGTTATCGGACAGAGGGAGAGAATGGACAGGCCTTTGACTCTTGCACAAAAACACCACTAGAGGTCAGCGCTACACATCTGCAGTAATAACCAGGTCAAAAGACTGCAAGATTTACAGGCGCAACATCATTTTACAGGCATACAAGACTCAAGATAAAGGAGCAATGGATAATTGGTGTGTTATTAATATAGGATTTCAGTGAAATGATAGATTCTGTGTGCATGTTTGTGTGAGTTTCATCCGGTTTCCCCCACAGTCTAAATACATGAGATATAGGGGAATTGAACTAAACTAAATTGGCTGTAGTGTATGAGTGTGAATGCGAGAGTGTGTGTTTGTGTGGGTGTTTTCCAGTACTGGGTTACAGCTGGAGGGGCTTACACTGCGTAAAAAATATGCTGGAATAGTTTGCGGTTTATTCCGCTTTGGCAGCCTCTGATTAATAAAGGGACTAAATCAAAGGAAAATGATTGAACTAACATTATTTTAATGCCTATTCTGATTTATTTGCTCACAGGACAAGATAAAAGCAATACCTTGAACTTAATAAATAGAATTCAATGCCAAATAAATGTTCAGACTGACCTTAAATGAAGGCAGTGAACAGGTTTTTCGCTGTTAATGTAGTAGGGTTAACAAACAGGAACAAATTGAGCCTTATTTTAAAGCGCTACCAAAAAAAAAAAAAAAAAAAAAAAACATATATATATATATATATATATATATATATATATATATATATATATTAGCATTATTGTATTCAAGACTACTGCCAAGAAATGTTTTCATTTAGTTTGCCTTGTAAACTGTAACCAGTTATTTTAAACTAAACTTTAATTATTAAAATTCAATTCACCTTTATTTGTATAGCGCTTTTACAATGTAGATTGTGTCAAAGCAGCTTCACATAAAAGATCATATTAAATTGGATCAGTGTAGTTTAGTTTTTTAGTGTTTAAGTTCAGTTCAGTGTGGTTTAATAATCACTACTGAGGGTCTAAACACTGAAGAGCAAATCCATCGATGCGTAGCTCTACCGATCCCAAACCATGCAAGCTAGTTGTGACAGCGGAGAGGGGAAAAAAAATTCACAAATTGGCGAAAGTGAAGAAAAAAAATCTTGAGAGAAAACAGGCTCAGTTGGACACCACCATTTTAATTTTCTCCGCTGGCCAAACGTCTTGTGCAGAGCTGTAGTCTCAGCTATTAAAATTAAACTATACAGACTGATAAAAATAAGCTAACATTAAAACTATGAAAACTTTCAATAAAATTAAATTACAAAACATTTTTAAACGCTTAAGACTATATACCCTGAATTATGTTTGTGTTTAAAGATATGTGGATTTCATGTTTATATGTACAGTTGAAGTCAGAATTATTAGCCCCACCTTTGATTTTTTTTTTCCTTTTTTAAATATTACCTAAATGATGTTTAACAGAGCAAGGACATTTTCACAGTATGTCTGATAATATTTTTTCTTCTGGCGAAAGTCTTATTTGTTTTATTTTGGCTGGAATATAAGCAGTTTTAATTTTTTAAACACCATTTTAAGGTCAAAATTATTAGCCCCTATAAGCTATATTTTTTTTAATTGTCTACAGAACAAACCATCATTATACAATAACTTGCCTAATCACTCTAACCTGCCTAGTTAACCTAATTAACCTAGTTAAGCCTTTAAAGGGTCACTAAACACCAAAACACATTTTTTGAGCTGTTGACAGTCGTATATGTGTCCCACACTGCTAAAAACACTATTAGGACACCTATATTTCACTAAAAAGTGTAAATTGGTTGTTTTTGCGTTATTTCAAGCAAATTCATACTTCCGGTTTGAAACGAATTTTTGAAGCTGCGTCACGGTCATGACATAATAGCCTGTATTCCAGCGTGCAGACTGGGCGTCTGTGCCAGAGTGAGTCTTATTACGTCTTACAGTGTGATGCATTAATGCATGAGTAAGGCTTGGTTCAAACCAATCAGCGCGCTCTATTGTGCAACTTCATTAATATTCATTACTGTGTTTACACGACATAGACGCCACGTTGTGTTGGCAAAACAAGCGTGAAGTGTTGCTTTTATAGTTTGCTGCCGTTAAGTTTCGTTTTCTTTTTCTCTCTGTGAGAGCTCAGACTCACGTGTGGATTAACAGTGTACGCGACGCTCGACAACAATAACTTACGTGTCTAAGGAGGATTATTGTTTACCTGAGAGCTGTTCTCATCTGCAAACGCTGTCACTTTAAGCTGTATAGAAGTATCTTAAAAAAATGTTCAGTAAAATATTATTTACTGTCATCATGGCAAAGATAAAATAAATCAGTTATTAGAAATCAGTTATTAAAACTATTATGTTTAGAAATGTGCTGAAAAAATATTTCTGGTAAACAGAAATTGGGGAAAAAAATAAACAGAGGGGCTAATAATACAGGGGGGCTATTAATTCTGACTTCAACTGTATATATTTTCTGCTAGTTATTTGTCTTGATTGCAATGTTATTTGTGGGATGGCATAGACTTTGAAAAAATAGAAAAAATAAATAAATTTCAAAATTCGAACTACTAAAAAAAACAAATTTGTGTCTAACTAGTAGATACTTCAAGCTATTAATAAAATCCAAGTATCCAACTAGGTATAAATAACACTGATTTGAAATCTGTGAAGTTTATATTCCTCTCAATTTGCTCGACCAACACAGGAAAAAGTTCAAAACACGATCAATCCTGCAAAACAGAATGATGTACTAAAATACACACTATATAATTCTACAAGAGCTCAGCATAATTGAGTACCACAGATATTTACATTAGATGTCGCCAACCCTGTTGTTGTCTATTGGAAGGAATGTATCAATTGAGCCGCCGTTTTAGTACAGGGTAGCGTTTCTTAGGAATGAATGCGGGACCAAGCTGAAGTGGAGGACTGGCCATCCAGAGCCAGAGGTATACTCATATATGCATACATCTATGATCAAGAGTTTTCCTGGTGGTCAGTATGCAATTTTTTTATTATTATTATTACAAAAATTATAATTTTACATCCACTTTCTAGATTGAAGTGACTGCACGGGCATCCTGACAAACAGCATGTGTTTGAGTATATGGCAATCTATTATCCTCCCTCTCTGTTTAAATTTGATCTAATTCATGTCCTGAAACACACCTCCTCTCCTGCTCTCATTTCTCATACTAACAGAGGGAGTGATTCGTTTGTGAATGAATCTCTGTTATGAACGACTCGTTTACTTAGCCAACAATAATACAAGTTTCTAGCACCGCAGCATCTTGTTGTCATAATTCTTTACCTTATGCTTTGTTTGCTCGTTACTACAGCTCTAAAGTCCAGCATCTTCACGATGGCACACTGTCTTGACTAGTACGGTTGAATGAAATTTGTGCTGGGAGCACTGTACAAATGTGGCGGTGCTACTGATGCATGTTCAGGGTCTGTATGCGACATCTAGTGTATCCATGATTGAGTACACCCCATTTCAAAAATTAATATTTTTTTATCCATTTCTCAGTGAATATAGGCTATGTATTTTGGTGTTTTTTTTTTACAAAACAGAGTTATTAAACAGATATATTTATTAAATTAATACTGTAGTCACCAACCATATTTAGAAATTAAAAGATAATATAATATTCAAGATAAATATTGCATAAAAGAGCCGCAAATGGCAGATTGTGTTTTCAGGCTAACAAACATACAGATGTCATATTTCTTGATGTCAAGCGTCTGATTTTTAATGAAAATAGTGTAAATATACAGAATTTAACTAACCTTTTTAAGAAAACTAACCGAGTTTAAATATAGTTCATGTTCCTCACACCACAACACACTTGTGGCTTTCGCTTAATCTATGTTTTCCCCATATTGTCACACTGAATGAAAGATCATCATCTTCAGCTGAACCTCGCAAAAACTGAAATGCTTGTAGTTTCTGCCAACTCGACCCTACACCATAACTTTTCAATCCAGATGGATGGGGCAACCATTACTGCATCCAAAATGGTGAAAAGCCATGGAGTAACGATTGATGACCAACTAAACTTCTCTGACCACATTTCTAGAACTGCTCGATCGTGCAGATTCGCACTCTATAACATCAGAAAGATCCGACCCTTCTTATCTGAACATGCAGCTCAACTCCTTGTTCAAGCTCTTGTTCTCTCCAAACTGGATTACTGCAACTCTCTACTAGCTGGGCTTCCAGCTAACTCTATCAAGCCTCTTCAGCTGCTCCAGAACGCAGCAGCACGAGTGGTCTTCAATGAACCTAAACGAGCACATGTCACTCCGCTGCTAGTCCGTTTGCACTGGCTGCCAGTTGCTGCTCGCATCAAATTCAAAGCTCTGATGTTTGCCTACAAAGTGACTTCTGGCCTTGCTCCTTCTTATCTGCGCTCACTTCTGCAGATCTATGTGCCCTCCAGAAACTTGCGTTCTGTGAATGAACGTCGCCTCGTGGTTCCATCCCAAAGAGGGAAGAAATCACTTTTGCGAACGCTCATGCTCAATCTGCCCAGTTGGTGGAATGAACTCCCTAACTGCATCAGAACAGCAGAGTTACTCGCTACTTTAAAGAAACGACTAAAAACTCAACTATTTAGTCTCCACTACACTTCCTAATCTGCAACTGCCTCTCTGAATATCACACTAACTGTACAAAAAAAAAAAAAAAAAAACTAATACTACTAATACTTCCCTTCTTAGACTTTACAGACCTGAAACTTGCCTATAGCACTTATTCATTGTTGCTCTTAGTTGTGTAAATTGCTTCCTTGTCCTCATTTGTAAGTCGCTTTGGATAAAAGCGTCTGCTAAATGACTAAATGTAAATGTAAATATTGTTCTGAGCTCCAGAGCCTCATGTTGTTCTGATGTTTTATTACCTCCAGCAGGTAGTCGGAGGCGTCGTGCACCAGCATAATGAGGGTTCCTGCTCTGATGTAGTTCACACACCACGAGAAACTGATCAGCAAGATGGTGGCAACATGGTGCACTATCTGCTCTTTAAAGTCCTGGAAAAACAGACAAACAGGCAGCATTATTTTATACACCAAACAACACAACGGCTTTGGTCACATACATAATATAAATTATATAAATATTAAAATGATTGGGTTATTAAGAATATTACTGATAAAGATAAAGTCAATAGCATTTTGATTTTAAAGGCTACATTTCCTGAAATCGAAATAACAGGACTGTAAAAACTGCAATATTGTGAAATATTAGAGCAATTCCAGCGTTATGGATGTGACATTTGCAGTAAAAACTCAAAACATAAATTTACATAGAAAGCACGTTCACATTATATTGAAACTTTTGTTTATATTTTCCCGAACAACTGACCACAGAGTTAAGGGACCAGAAAAATATCAATCTGTAAACATCTTTTGCACTTTAAATGAGGGAAATAAACATGCGTTATGGATGCGACATAAAAAGTCTGCTGGTTTACAGTATACAACATGGTTTGTAGAAATTCTGTGAATTAAACTGCACAACCCAAAAGAAACAATGCTAATCAAAAGGACAAGAGTCAGCTCTCTATAGAACAAAAATGATTGATTATTTAATTTAATATTTTCACTTTTATGAGGAAAAAGTGTCGTGACGGATGTGACAGATGTGAAATTGCCACTTGTGTGACTTTGGTAAATCAAATAGAATAGTTTGAAAACACTGACAGATGCATTGAGTATTTCTAAAGTACTGTAAAAATACTTGCCTACACAAAAAACCCAGAAACAGCTTCAGTATTTTAGTGAAAACTTTTTTTTTTATGGCAAGGTTGACATTTGCATGCAATTGCTCATTAATATAATAACTTCTATTATAATATTGAAAACAAAAAACAAAACTGCAAAGCCCTGTGTGAAAAAGTGTTTCTCAAGCAGAAGCGAACTTGAGTTCCGCAGCAGGAAATCCTCCAAAGCAGACCAGCAAGTCCACGACTCAAAATCTAAATAAAGACTTTGGAATGGCCTAGTCAGGGCTTAATTTGTGCTGGAACACGCCGGATCCAGCACCTCTGAAGTCTGATCCGGCACCTCAACTGCCCTCCTCCCCCCTCCCGTTCACTTTGTTCCACGACACCCTCTTTCGTCCGCGACAACAAAGCCCCACTCTAGCTCTTAACTTATGTCTGCGACACCCCTCCGCTAACCCCCACCCCCCGATCTCCACTTTCATGCGCGACACCTCTACATACTCAGCTAGCATACCGGATCCGTTATCTGTTCCGGGACCTCGCGATTCACAAATTAAGCACTGGGCCTAGTCAAAGTCCTGACCTGAATCCAATTGAGATGAGGTAGGGCGACTTTAAAAAAGGCAGTTCAAGCCCTCTAATGTGGCTGAATTACAACAATTTTCCAAAGAGGAGTGGGCCAAAATTCCTCTATAGCACTGTAGCAGACTCATTACAAGTTATTGAAAACGCTTAAATGCAGTGTTGCTGCTAAGGGTAGCCAAATCAGTTAAACGATTCAGGGGCAAACACTTTCACACAGGGCTATGTCGTTTTGGATTTTGTTTTCTCTAAGTAATAAAGACCTTTATTAAAACTGCATTACGTGCTTACTTGTGTTATAGATGACTAATATTTAAATTGGTTTGATGATCTGAAACATTAAAGAGTGACAAACATGACAAAATAAAAGAAAACACTTTCACATCACTGCAAGTTTGTCTAATTATGCTTGTTTATTCTTTTGCTAAACTGTATCTATATTTTGTAGATGCTGTATATTCTTTTTCTTTTTTAATAAAGGCACTGAATTTAGGTTACTTCAGCAGCTCTGTTCTGTGATAGTAGCTTGAGAGTCAAAGTTCAGGATGAGCATCACAGACTAGGTGACTAATTAATCAAACCATCACTTCAAATTGGTCACCTATTAAAATTCAGTTGGGGAAAATGTGACCAGGTGACATTCAATGTTGCATTTTATTATCTCAGTCAGGTTTTTTTTTTCATGTTGTACAAAGCTTGATTTAATACATAACCCATCTGTAAATCAGTCTGGTGTATTTATATAATCTTATCAGGCCCCTAAAATGTTCCTTCAGACTTCAGAAAGAATAAAAATCAATGCATCCCCTTCAATTAAGCAAAATTATGAAGCTTGTTTCCTTGATGTAGTCACAGTGAGGTTGCTTTTCCATTTACAGTGCACAGGGTAAATTAGTACACCCTCATATGAAAATTAATACTTGTATTCATTTCTCAGTAATGGCCGGTGCTTAATTTGTAAATGAATAATTCCCGGAATAAAACCAGGAAATAAAAGTTAGCATGATCGACATCCACCACAAATTAAACTTTTTACCAGAACATGAAGTCATTAACGGTGATAGCGCAAAAAAAGCATCAAATTTCTTCACGGTCTTTAATTATTTTGTATCATATAACTTTATGGGTCAATTAGCCACGTAGCTACAAACATTGATCCTATGAAAAAAATCACTATTGAGTTTACCAACACCTTTACTAACAGCATTGACAGTAAAATATTAACTCTACTCAGACACGCATACAATCTCCACACCAATCTCCATGTGATAAGCAACATCTGAAAACTCTGAACAAGACTGATCACTGATTAAAGTTTACTTACTTTTCGCTTGACGTCTGATGCGACGCTGAAGAGGAGAGACATGTAAAACCCTAGTTCAATCATGTAGTACCAGTACTGAGAAGGCAACAGCGGCTGGAGAGAAAAAGCAAACAATCGTTTAATTCAATAAGTCAAGATTTTATGTGGTGTCATTTTCTGCCGCATATGGTCTGAAGCTTAAAGGAACACTACACTTTAAAAAAGGCTAATTTTAAAACTCTCCGAAAGCTAAACAGTGGAGTTTTAACATTTTTGAATCCATTCAGTCAGTCTCAGGGTCTAGCCAGAATACTTTTAATCAAAATAAATCATAAATATATCATCATAAATCATCGAATCGGATTAGCATCTCGCGCAAAAAAAAGGCTAATTTTACAACTCTTCTAAAGCTAAACAGTGGAGCTTTGACATTTTTGAATCCAGTTAGTCAATCTCCGGATCTAGCTAGAGTACTTTCAGCTTAGCTTAGCATAAATCATTCAATCGGATTAGACCATTAGCATCTAACACAAAAAAGGCTAATTTACAACTCCCCTAAAGATAAACAGTGGAGTTGTACCATTTTTGAATGCAGTCAACCGATCTCTGGGTGTACCAGGAGTCCTTTTATCTTAGCTTAACATAAATTATTGAATCAGTTTACATCATTAGCAATTCACACACAAAAATGGCAAATATTACAGCTCCCCTAAAGATAAACAGTGGAGTTTTAACATTTTTGAATCCATTCAATTGATCTCCAGGTCTGGCTAGAGCACTTTTAGCATAGCTTAGAATAAGCCATTGAATCGGATTAGACCACTAGCATCTCGCACAAAACACATAACACAAAAAGGCTAATTTTACAAATCTTCTAAAGCTAAAGAGTGGAGTTTTACCATTTTTGAATGCATTCAACCCATCTTGGGGTGTGGTGGGAGCCCTTTTAGCTTAGCTTAGCATAAATCATTGAATCAGATTAGACCAAAAATTAGGTAAAAAAAAGAAGACTTTTTAGAACTTAAAAGCTTGATTCTAGTAGTTACACAGTGTACAAAGATCGGTGGAAAATAAAAAGTAGCTATATTCTAGATTAATATGGCTAAGAACTTTCTCCTCATTCAGGCGTAATAATACTCATGGCTGCAGCATGATATTATCCAGCTAAAAAAAATATTCCCCAGCTAGGCAACAGCAACAGGGGTTGTCGCGAGGACACTTCAGATTAGTTTGGAAGGGCACTTTCTATCCAAGACTAAAAAGGGCATGTGCACTGCACAGGTTGAGCCCTGTGTGTGCACATGCCTGGTATTAGCTGTTCTTGTTGAATCACTGAATTCCTCCTCATTTTTATGTCGCTGTGGACAAAAGTGTCTTGTAAGAAATGAGTCTGCCTCGACCCAACTTCCACTCTAAATGGTGAATTGATGCTCAATTGCCAAAAGGGCTGACTTTGAGAGAAAAGAGAAGTCAACAGGGTCTTGTCTCTGCATTATTTGAGGTGACTACATCTCGACCAAATGGTAACAATTGTAGAATGGGGATGGGTGTGGTGCACAAAGAACCATCTCATTAATGATGTTGAAACTGCATTAACATGGAGAGATAGGGAGAACAGCTGGGTCAACAGCCAAGGAGCAACTTCATTAACATCTAAAGGCAACATTAAAAAACATTATAAAGCTTTGAGTTTAAGAATGTTCAGGGTTCATTCTGACTCCGGTGAACCCAAGGTACTGCCATGTATTTTGAGACTGCTATGCTGAATAAACATCTTCATTTAGACTTTCTTCGTCATCATCATTTTTTCTTACTGTCTGCTAAATGACTAAATGTGAAATTATCAAAACTTTTTTTTTTCATTTGTGTGAGATGCTAATGGTCTAATCCAATTCGATGATTTATGCTAAACTAAGCTAAAAAGTGCTAAAACTCAACTGTTTTACTTTAGGGGAGCAATATAATTACCCTATATTTAAAAAAATGGAGTGTTCCTTTAAGGTATTTTTGGCATCAGTTTCCATATATCTCATAGCAAAACCATATTTTTGCAATCCTCCTCAAATATTATATACATTAGCTTATCGACAAAAAAGCTGACTGAAGATTCATTTTAGATTAAGACAATATTGAAACCTACAAGTCAACAGAAGAATGAAGTGAGCATACCAGCACTGGAAACCCTGCCCACATCTCCTTCGTATCGTAGAACCAAGGTTTCTGAGGAATACAAACAACATGAAGAGAATTTGAGACTAGATAAAGGTGCTCTGCCATTTCATCTCAATAAAACCTATGCAGGTCACAAGTATAAGATTACACCAGTTAAAAAGTGGTGGTCAACAAGCATGGGAATTCTTTAACAGCCAAAGGCAAAATGCAGGTTCAATTTCAGAATTTTCTAACATTTTTTGTGTTGAATTATAGCTTGGTGTGTATGGATGTTTCCCAGTACTGGGTTGCAGCTGGATGGGTATCCGCTGTGAAAAACATATGCTGGATAAGTTGGCGGTTCATTTCGCTGTGGCGACCCCTGATGAATAAAGGGACTGAGCCAAAGGAAAATAAATGAATGAATTTTAGCTTGCAACTCTTAAACTTTTCTAAAATGCAGCAACAAAATAATAACAATAAAGGAAATTAAGGTTTTAACTTTAAAAGACTTTGTAGAGTTCAAATATGGTTTATGCAAACTTTTGAAATTAACCCCTTAATGGTCACTCTAATACTTGAATTCACACTTGGAAATGAAATATTATATATGCATTTTGTATAGAGTTTGCTGAGGTAAGTTCAAGTTTAGACCATTTTTTCATCAATATGTACTGAAGAATTGTTAAGGGGACAATTCCATTTCCAAAAAAAATGAAATCCAAGATTTCATTTTTGCTAAAAAAAAAAAAAAAAAAAATCTAAATAAATGTCAAAATAAAAACTTGCATTAATTCATAGGAAACTATTAAAAATTACATAAAGTAGTAAATAGTTAAATAATGAACAGATATCAGCTGTTTAACCTTTGTGGCCAAAATATTAGAAAAAAATAAATGGGACAGATAAAATTTTAAATTTAGTAAAATTGTTAAAATTTTTAATCCAAACATAGTAATAATAATAATAATAATAATAATAATAATCATAATAATACTAAAAACAATAACAATATTAATAATGTTATATTGATAAGTTGTTTATCTGTTTTCCTACCTTAAATAAATAATAATAATAATAATAATAATTATTATTATTATTATAATAATTATAATAATAATTATTATAATAATAATAATAATAATAATAATAATAATAATAAATGATAATAATATTAATAATAACATTAATAATGTTATAATAATTGTTATTGTTATTATTATTATATAGGCCTTGTTAAGAAGCGATCATCCATCAGCATCAGGTGCACAGCGGTAAGACGTTTAGCAGTGAACTGTGACCTTATTTTAAACGACAAATGTGTAATAAAACTGCTAATTTACGTTTTTATTTAATTTATGCATACGCAATGAATGTAAGCCTGCAAACTGATCAAATGAAGAATATGTAAACTTAGTTCATATACATAACTAAATAATAATTAAAAGTCTGGGTGCTGAACACAGAGGACTTTTATTTTGAGGGTGAAGCCACAAGCTCAGATTTGGTTGACCAATCAGAGGAAAATGGGTGTTTCAGCATCGCCTACATGTGTATAATTAATTTAAGTCGTTTATCAGTTTTCCTACCTTAAATAAATAAATAATAATAATAAATTAATTAATTTAAAAAAAAGAGCCAAAAATCTTGTTTTTAGTTTTTTGTGAGCAAAAGAAAAAACAAAAAACAGCCATTTTCTTAGTTTTCCTTTTTTTTGTTTGAAAACAGAAGATATCCTGATTCTCTTTAACCCCTACAGATAAACTTTAAAGTCGTGACGGTGCATTTGAGATACTCACATCAATAAGTGCAGCAAGGCCAGCAATGAAAGCAACAAGGTAAAAGGTAAATCTCCAACTGTAAGAAAATGTACATCCATTTCAGCAAATCGACACTATCGGCAACAAAATAATATTACATGCATAACTTTCAAGAATTACTGCTTCCAAAAACATTTCTTTTAAGGGTCTAGACATATTCAATCATGAAGTTACTACACACACACAATGACAAAATGTACAAAAAAACAAGGTGCATACGCTCCACTCACAACACAAACACTACTATTACAAGCCAACAGCTCCTACGCCAGTTTTTTTGTACAGCATCTACAACCTACTGTTGACTGACAGCATGAAAACAGGCTAATTTAAAGGATGTTTCAGGCTTAATACAAGTCAAGCACTATCGACAAGCATTTGTGGCTTAATGTACATTAGCACAGAGAATAAAAGATGCATTAAAGCAGCGCACTTAAGTAAACTGGGTCATGCACTTCTGAAATATGAGGGCGGTGTTTATGTCTAAGCACATAATCGAATTCATTTAGGCTGTAAGGATGCTTAAACTGCGTCTTGTGTTGTAGGCGGATACATTTCTGGATTTATGATGGTCATACAGTGCATCCGGAAAGTATTCATAGCGCTTCACTTTTTCCACTTTTTTTATTGTTACAGCCTTATTCCAAAGTAGATTCATAAAATTTATTTCCTCAAAATTCTACACACAATACCCCATACTGACAATGTGAAAAAAGATTTTTTTAAATTGTTGCAATTTTTTTACAAATAAAAAACCTGAAAAATCACATGTACATAAGTATTCACAGCCTTTGATGTGAAGCTTTAAATTGAGCTCAGGTACATTCTGTCTCCACTGATCATTATTGAGATCTTTCAGCAGCTTAACTGGAGTTCATCTGTGGTCAATTCAGTTGATTGGACATGATTTGAAAAGGCAAACCCTGTCTATATATTGCCCCAGGGTTGACAGTGCATGTCAAAGCACAAACCAAGCATGAGGACAAAGGAATTGTCTGTAGACCTCCGAGACAGGATTGTCTCGAGGCACAAGAATGGGGAAAGTTACAGAAGAATTTCTGCTGCTCTGAAAGTTCCAATAAGCAAAGTGGCCTCCATCATCCGTAAGTGAAAGATGTTTGGAACCACCAGGACCAGGACCACTAGGTTGAGTGATCGGGGGAGAAGAGCCTTAGTCAGGAAGGTGATCAATAATCTGATGGTCACTCAGTCTGAGCTCCAGCATTCTTCTGTGGAGAGAGGAGAACCATACAGAAGGACAACCATCTGTGCAGCAATCCACCAATCAGGCCTGATGGTAGAGTGGCCATATGGAAGCCACTCCCCGCCTGAAATTTGCCAAAAGGCATCTGAAGGACTCTCAGACCATAAGAAACAAATTTCTCTGATCTGATGAGACTAAAATTGAACACTTTAGAGTGAATGCCAGGTGCTACGTTTGGAGAAAACCAGGCACCACTCATTACCAGGCTAATACCATCCCTACGGTGAAGCATGGTGGTGGCAGCATCATGCTGTGGGGATGTAATTCAGCAGCAGGAACTGGAAGACTAGTCAGGATAGAGGGAAACATAAATACAGCAATGTACAGAGACATCCTGGATGAAAACCTGCTTCAGAGTGCTCTTGACCTCAGACTGAGGCAACAGTTCATTTTCCAGCAGGACAATGACCCAAAGCACACCACCAAAATATCAATGGAGTGGCTTCACAACAACTCTGTGAATGTTTTTGAGTGGCCCAGCCAGAGCCCAGACCTAAATCCTATTAAACATCTCTGGAGAGATCTGAAAATGGCTGTACACAGTCGCTTCCCATCCAACCTGATAGAGCTTGAGAGGTACTGCAAAGAGCAATGGGTGAAAAGACAGGTGTGCCAAGCTTGAGGAATCATATTCCAAAAGATTTGAGGCTGTAATCGCTGCCAAAGGTGCATCAATAAAGTATTGAGCAAAGACTGTAAATACTTATTATAAATATATACATTTATAACAAGTATCCATAAATATATAAATATCAGATTTTTCAGCTTTTTTATTTTTAATAAATTTGCAACAATTAAAAATAATCTTTTTTCACCTTGTCATTAAGTGGTATTGTGTGTAGAATTATTTTGGAATAAGGCAGAAACATAAAAAATGTGGGAAAAGTCAAGCACAATAAATACTTTCTGGATGGACTGTATTTTGCAAACATTTAGTGGAATATTTTTAATTCTCTTACACTAACAAGTGAAATATTAAAGATTATCAACAATATCCCAAATGCTTTAGATAAATCTCAGCTTGTACCGTACCGTTCACATTCCTTTAATTAGACGTGTTGAATGTGTTTTTTTCGTGTGAAGCACAAGACAGGTAATGTTGAAATGTCAAAGACGAGATATTAAAAGGACCAGTCCAAAAGTTAGTAGAACAGTGAATTTACTTCATACATTAGCCAAATTTTATTCTGCTTATAATAACACCACATACCGTTTTTTCCTGAGTGCTTCCTACCACCTAATGGAAAATGTTTATTTGTTCTGTTGTACTGTGAATATCGTGTACTCTGCGTTAGTGTTGAGATTATCAGGAAGCACTGTTAATCATTTGATATTTTTATGACATTTGCTTTTTTGTAAGGCTTATAAAATGTGATATCATTTGAGCTTTATGAAGGGATGCAGGTGCGTTGTCGTGTACCTGGCCTCTCTGAACTTCTTCAGCTGGTTTGGTCGCTCTTGGTTCCTTCGTCGCCGGAACCATCTGTGGATCTCTCTCTCCGTGTGCCCCGTCTTTTTCACTAAACTCTCCACTTCAGCCTGTAGGGCAGCAGAGAACATCAAGGGTCATTAAATTAATTAATACAACACATCCTATGCTGTGTATTAATAACAAGGATGATGTGAACAGAGTGGAAAATTTGACTGTGTACACATATCCATAGTTTTTATTAAGCATTTACTTAAATGAACAATACTTGTACAGTATATATTAATTATTTACTAACACATTATTAAAATCAGTTTACATTGTTAATGCACAAGAGAACCAACGATGGCTTTTCATTTCATTAACTAACAAAGATGAATAAATAATGTAATAAATGTATTGTGGATTGTTTGGCCTATGAATTAACACAGTTACATGAACTTTATTAGTTACAGACTAACCTTATTTGAAGTTTTTTTTATTTATCTTAAGTGTTTAAGGTGTTACTTATCATTATATTGTAATGATATCATGAGGTGCATTTTGATAACTTCAGTCAGAGCAAGATGGAGGTGTACATTTCAAATTTCAATGTCCTAGTTTCTAATAACACCTGAAAAAATTGGAAGGAAAAAGTCAGCTAACATGGGTTTAATCAGAAATAATGTAATAAAAATAAGTATAATAAAAAAATACAAAAAAAATACAATCATAATAATAATAATATTGAGACAATTAAAACAATGTTTACCAAACACTGTTGTTAGTTCAATGAAATATTTTTAATTAAAATATCAAAAACAGAAATGAACTAAACAAAATACAGAAAGTAAACAGAGTTTACACTTTTTCACTTTATTTTTAACAAATCAATCCCAACACAAAATATTTGTGGAAAGTAGTCTGCTGGATAACAGGGTGTCCTGATTTGCTGAGGAAAAACTCAATCATAATTAATTAATGATGAATTTCATCATATAGGAGATTACAGAAGTGAATCAATGAGATGCAAACTAGTCCCTCTCTGAACAGATTCTGCTATATCTACACACATACAGCTTAAAAATTTAACTTTAATGGATAGTTTAGCCGAAAAAATAAAATAAAATAAATGTACTCACTATTTGGTTTTCCTCAAGTGCTTCTAAACCTTTACTCTTTTGACATGATTCCACTGAGTAGTACGATACGCTTTTATAGCCATTTTCACTGTCAGAGTATCAGAAAGCGAACTGTATTGTACAACTTTTTGGGTACGCTTTTGAAAGGGTACCTACCACAACAAAAGGGTATGAAAAGGCGGAGCGAGACGCGCAGCTGAACGCTATTGGTTTACAGAGATGAATCACTGGCGCGTGTACAAGCAGGAAATTGAAATCAAAGGAACCGCCATTTTTAAATGAACAGCCGATACATTACACCGTAATAATATATACATATAATAACAAGCCATGGTGACCAGAGCTTTAACAAACCTTGTTGTCGAGCAGCCACAAACCAAGAAGAAGAGCAGAATCTACCCTACCGTTGTTTTCAAAGTCGTCTAAAGCGCGAGCGGATTCATTTTCTCGCTTGCGCTCGCCACAGGTCTTTATCTGAAATAAACTTCTTGAGCTGATGATAATAACGTGCGTGTGATTATTGAAGCGCTTCTGACATCCGATCCTTTTAGAAACGGAAACTCGCGAGTAAAGCACAAACAATCAAAGAGAAGCCCGATAAAAAGGAGCAAATGATTCTTTCAGCAACCTAAAACATGAACAAACTGCCATGTTTACCTATTATCATCATCACCTTTTTGACTATTATGAACTCGGGAATGATGGAATTACTCTCTAACAGAGGTTACATGTACAGATACAGATGAGAGGTTTGCACTGATAGTAGCTATATGTTGCATGTTGTTTTTGAACCCAAATAAGGACTAATTGTGTGCTGTGTGTAGTTTTTCTGTTATTGAAAACATATTGGAGACTGTAAGGGTCAGTATGTGTTCATATACGTTGCATTTATTTAGTTATTTTATATAATTGCAGACGTTACAGTAAGCTATTTCATCACTGATCTGCAGTTATAATCAAATCTCGTTCATAAAAAAGTTAGAAATGAACATTTTACACAAGTCTTTGTGTGTATAAAGCATCTTTTTTGTGAGAAGTGCTTCTCATATGACCCATACAGCTTTATGTTGACATTTCCTCGAGCGAGAATGACGTTGACTGAAACTTTGTCATACACCACGTACCCTTTTGGCAGTGAAAATGCAAGCCTGATAAAGGTGACCCGTACCGTTCTGTACCACTCAAGTGAAAACGGGCTAATTAATACAAAAAATATATTCGGAGGAAAGCTGTTACCAGCAACCAGTAACCACCGACTTCCATGGTATTTGTTTATCCTAACAAGTGAAGGCTGAATAAACGATGATAGGATTTTCAATTCTGGGTAAACTGTCCGTTTAAGGTTTAAAGGTGCTTTAAGTAAGGCGGCAGATTGAATAGATGAAAGGGACATGTCCTACTTCCCACTTATGTAGTCATGATTATAAGCGTTTCATTGTTGGAATGGATAAAGTGTAGCATTTAATTCACTGACAACCATATAATACACTTTAATTGCATTGTGGGACACACACTAGACAGTCGAGTACACACAGCAGTGTAAAAGTGCATACGGTTTAGCCAGGTCAGTTATTTACTTCCAATTGCCATGTCAACTTTACACAAAGACCTCAGTGCTCAAAACTCACCGCCTGGAGACATATGATGATGAAAATTTTTGTCTTCTCTTGTTTGTCATCTGCTGATTCAGCTCTGCTTTCCCACCCATTGAGTTCTTTATATCAATGATTTTAAAGGACTTTATAGGACACATTTACAACAAACAAACACAAAACCAAACTGCTGCTGGTGTATTTGTGGAAACAGTAAAAAAACCTATTGTGTAGGTCAAAAAAAATTCTATTAAGTAAAAATCATGTTCCATGAAGATATTTTCTAAATTTCCGTACCATAAATGTATCAAAACGTTAACAAATAAAATAAACAAAATTTGTTTAGTAATGGGCATTGCTAAGAATTTATTTGAACAAATTTCTTTCAATATTTAAATTGTTTAACCATCAGACTACATATTTTCCTAACCCTATCCCAACACCCTTATGTTATCCTGATTTATTCAGCTTTCAGAAAAAGTTTCAATCTCAATTTCATAAAACAAATGGACTCTTATGAGGGTTTTGTGGTCCAGGGTCACATTTTGTACTGATGTATGGATTTGTACCTGTTTGGGGCTTTTACTTGTGCTCCTGAAGTAAGCCTCCAGCATAGGGTTGTGCGCCGCTCGCACTCGAACTTTCTCCTTCACACCCAGAGCTGTGGCCAGACGAATGGCCACCGTCCTACAGATGGAAGACAGTATTAAACTCTCAATGCTTGAGCTGGAAAAACTGACAGCAGCGCGCCAGATATATATATATATATATATATATATATATATATATATATATATATATATATATATATATATATATATATATATATATATATATATATATATATATATAAAATATTGAATATTCATAGGCTGCTATGCTTATGAAAGGCTGAAGCAATTTCCTTCAATATAAATTACATTTGACATGGATTACTGGACCGTTCCATTTGCATAACGGACGATGAATTGATATCAGATGTTCTGTGTCTGAGCTCCTTCTTAGGCCTGGTTTATACTCAACACGTCTGCTGGTTCGCTTGAGTGTGCGTGGTGAATGTGACGTCATCGGAGAGTTTGCGAAGGTTCGCTTTGGGTGCGCACGACATGATTTCGGCTGGCGGAATGCATGATTTTTTTGTTTTTTTGAGACTCGAGTAAACAGTTCTCTCAGCACCGCATTTAAAAATCTTTAAAAATATCTGCATTTTTTTAGCAAGGGCTCTTTTTTTTGCATTTATTCTTGCCATAATAAAAATAAATTTGTAGTGAAACTCATAAAAAAAAGCAAGTGATACATCAAAGTTTGATTAATTTTTTTTCCTTCAATGATTGATAAATCATTCAAATAATTTATAAAAATAATAAAAATAATTAGTTTAATAATATTGATTGATATTAATGATATGACGTAGTTCCGAAAACTTTCTACTTCTCTGTCTATCCTTCTGATTTTACAGTCAGTTCCTTTTGACCGCCCCCTGTCATTTTAAAGAACATCACAATGGCGAACGCGTCAAGTATAAAAGCCTCGTCTGGTTCATGAGGTGCGCGATGGGGCGCCAGGAGAAAGTATAAATCCAGCTTTAAGTTCACCAAGGCGGCATTATTTAAACATGAATACATGAATATTACAATACAATATTATTATAAAACATTAATAATACATTTATTATAATACATTAAGATTAGTTTTAAAATGCAAGTTAAAGCCAAAACTGAATTTTCAACCAACACTCCTGTTTGTAGAGTAAAACTTCTTCAGCCATCATCATTAGTGCTTCACAATATTGTGGAAGTCTGCTATTTTTTCAGGTTTGACTTGAATAAATAGTAATATTATTGTCACTTTTGATTAAATTAATCCATTCTTACTCAAAATACTCCTTTCTAAAATATGCATGGTTACATTATTTTGAAACGAAACTTTTGAATGGCATAAAACAGAACAGTTGTGTCAAAAATTGTTTAAGTAATGATCACAACATAAGTAAACACTAAAAATAAACATTCACATCTACACTACCTGACAAGTCTTACCGCCAATCCAAGTTTTAGGAACAACTAATAATAACTTGACTTCTGGTTAATCATTTGGTATCAGAAGTGGCTCATATGAAAGGCAAAGACCTCTAGATGACACTTATTTAACCTAAATTAAATATGATCATGCCTTGATTTTTTTATTATTTAATTAGGACAGTAAGGTCTGACTTTGCTTGGACAAGTCTTGTCACTTAACAAAAATAATGTACAGTATAGAATATAAAGTCAGTGCAGTGGAAAAAGAATGAATATTGTGTACGACCTCAATAAGCTCAGAGGTTTGCATCCATCCATCTCTGCAATCACTCAAAGAACTTATTAATAAAATCATCTGGAATAGCAAAGAAAGTGTTCTTGCAGGACTCACAGAGTTCATCAAGATTTTTTTTTGTTCATCTTCAATGCCTCCTCCATCTCACCCCAGACATACTTAATAATGTTCATGTCTGGTGTCTGGGTTGGCCAATTCCTGAACCCCTTGAACTTCTTTGCTTTCAGGATTTTTGATATGGAGGCTGAAGTATGAAAAGGAGCGCTATCCTGCTGAAGAAATTGCCCTCCTCTGTGGTTTGTAATGTAATGGGCAGCACAAATGTCTTGATACCTCAGGCTGTTGATGTTGCCATCCACTCTACAGATCTCTCACACGCCCCCATACTGAATGTAACCCCAAACCATGATTTTTCCTTCAGCAAACTTGACTGATTTCTATGAGAATCTTGGGTCCATGCAGGTTCCAATAGGTCTTTTGCAGTATGTGATGATTGAGATGCAGTTCAACAGATGAAATCTACCTTCAGCTACTTTATTAAATGATCAACTAGAAGTCAACTTATTATTTGTTGCTCTTACAACTGGGATCGACAAGACTTTTGTCAGGTAGTGCATTTCTTTTACCTATACGATATATGTTTTCTGAACAAGAATATCTTTTATAAATATTTTTCTATGCTTTTAAACAAATTCAAATAAAAACACCCAATAAGTGTGATGCTGACATTTTTAAACAGCGTTCTCATTAGATCAACAGTAAGAACTGATAAAAGGTTCATGGCCTAAACCATATGTTGCAAGTGTAATATTGACATTGGTGTTAACCCCGTAAAAACACACTTCTGCAAAGCACGTTTCATGCTGACCTCTCGAAAACTTGTCGTATGATGAGGAAGGTGAGTGCAATGGGCAGGGTCACCCAGAGGTCTGCTGTTTTGGCATAGGTGACACCGTCCCGATCCTCCAGGTCAGCCCAGCCCAGGTCTCCAGGAAACCACAGCCTCTCGTTCCAGAACCACTCGCTCAGCCTGGACAACATCCTGATGCAGAGGAAGACACAAACATGACATTAGAGCTGCACAATATATAATTTCAGCTTTGATATCGCACAATAGTCACAAGTTATGTAATGTTGATTCTGAATTATAGTTGACCAGGAGCCACAGAACACATCAGATTTGAAGAGTCGCTGCCAAGTTTTACCATAATGGAGTGAAAGTGTATCATTTGCATGTGTTTTTAAGGCCTGTGACTGCCTTTCAAGAGAGTTCAAAACAATTGGACACAAATAGTTATGTTTGGAAGATTATTGTATTTTAATATTTATACAAAGTAAGTTTTTCTTAATTTGTGGCCTGTTTCTAGTCCAAATATTTACATTTCATAGAAGGAATGCACTGATATGGTCTGTTGGGCCGATACCGATAACTGATCAATCTTTAGATTTAAAGGCCAATAACCAACATGTTAGCCAGTAAATATAAATATTAAAAAATGTTATATTTTTATACAGTGAATAACTGCTTTTAGTTCAAAAACTTTATAAAAGGTTAAACTGATCTTAGAAAAGCCTACTCAAAGCAAAAAATAGCAATAATTTAATCATTTTAAGGTGATTATATAAGACATGTACTGGTATAGGATTCTGATGGCATGATAACCGTGGATATAATTATCACGGTTTCACAGTCTCACGGTATTGAGATTAATACTCTAATATATATATTTTTTAAATGTCTGGGTAAAAATCAATAACGTTTTTTCCCTTTGAAAACAATATAATTTAATTTAGGAAACATTTATAATATTTTGAAAAAGTAAACATGTCAGGCTAAATAATTCAAATAAGACATTAAATTCTGCTGTCTTCAGTTGTTTCAAAAAACAGATTTCTTTACAATTTAAAATGGCATCTTTGGATATCTTTTCTGCTGGAGATACTGTTGTCGTAAAAAAATGGATGGTCAGGCAAGCAATGATCAACACAGCAGCAAACAGATGTATACGAACAATCCAGAATCGTAGTCAAAGTAACTGGCAGATGGTCACAAGGCAGGCAGGTCACAAGTCCGAGTGCGAGCGGCGCACAACCCTATGCTGGAGGCTTACTTCAGGAGCACAAGGCAGGCAGCAAACAGGAATAAATAAATAAACAAGGCGAGGATCAAAAACATAGCAAAGCAAGACAAAGGAAAACGCGTTGTAATGTCACTTAAACAGATAACAAGACTCAGCAACGTGTGTGTTTGAGAGGTTTATATATATATATATATATATATATATATATATATATATATATATATATATATATATATATATATATATATATATATATATATATATAAAATAATTTTACGTAATAATTTCACGTCCAAATGTGCCATGGCGTGACGCAGCTGACTCTTAAAGGGAATTGAAGATGAGACTCTAATTGATTTAATGCACGTTATGCTCAAAACTCATTAAGAGAATGAGCAAAACCCTGTTAGACCATGCGCCAAGGTGCAGACCGTATTTTTTCTTAAGCCCTTAATGCTTTTTGTGCCATGCACTTTAGTTTTTGTGCCTAGATTGTTAAAATAGAGCTCTTTGTCTTACTGTTGCAAAACAGATATTTAAAAAAATGTAAAAAAAATAAATGAAATAAAACAAATGACTAACACTTTGCTCCACTGGTCAATTTTTATCTACCTGAAAACATCAAGAACATTCAGCAAAACAAAATCACTTAAAACAGAGTTGAATTGTTAATTTGGTGACATATCTTTCTTAACACGGCTTGCCTACTTGGTCATAAATTATTTCAGCATCGATACTAAAATCATAGCAGATTTTTGGATAAGAAAACCAGCAGGTCAACTCTTCTTGGTTTTAGAGATGGACACTGACAACTTTGCCTGATGTGCTAAAAAGAATTCAATTATATCATTGATTGCAAACCATTTGCAATATGTGCAGTACACTGCGATATGCATATCTGCTATATTTTGAAGCCCAAGTAGTAAACAATTCAACTTCACAAAAATAAAGGTGTTTACGGTTGAGCATTCCATCCTTTTTATAACCACCTCTTGTGACACCATGTCCTGCTTTCCATTCATTTAGATGTCTTTTGTCTGTGTCGCATACATATTTCAGTTAAACTGCTCTAGAATTAGTTAGGAAGTATGCTGAGACTCATTGTGTTCGGTGTGCACAAAGGTTGAAATGGAAACGTTCACATATAACCAAACACACCGCACTGACAGAACAATCCCACCAGAGATTGCTTTAATCTAACAAAACCTGCCAAGTGTGAACACACCCTTATAATTACGAAGCCTTTCTTGAAATGGCCCACACCCAATAATGTCTCAAAATGCTTTTTAGGCTGTCAGTTCACTAGTGTTTAAACAGAGCATGCGTTTACATTTATTATTTACAATACACTGCCAACAGTCTTCTGTGAGGGTGTAAAGTAAAACATTAAATTACACAAAAATGATCATTTACTCACCCTTAGGTGGTTCCAAAAGTTACAACCTTTATTCTGTTAAAAACAAAAGATCTTTTGAAGAAAGCTGGATTCTGGTTACCTTCAACATCCATAGTAGAAAAAATAAAGTCAATGGTTGCAGGTTTCTTTAAATCAGGGCCGGAGTGGGACACCTTTTCAGCCCTGGAGTTTCAAGCCTCAGACCGGCCCACCTCAATTCACGACTGACTATATTAAAATAAGTAAAATAAATAATATCATTTCCAAATCATTTTCTAATGACACTATCATGTCTTTTTTTGAGAAAACAGCTGCTTTAGAACTTCAAATGTTCAACAACCCTAACAGTATTATATGTCTTAACAATAAAAATGAAATCGATAAATTACTCTAACGAGGATCGAACCCGGGTCCGCGGCGTCTTAACCTAACGTGCTAACCACTGAATCACAACAGCTGGGTACAGTGTGGAGACACAACTGAGTTTATGATCATTAAAATAGATGAAAAGAGAAGAGTTGCGGTAAAATAATCAATAAAAAGGCTGTGGTCAAGTAAATAAATAAATTTAAAAAGTGTGACTGCTGAGAGCAACAGATTCTGGAGCTAGGGCCACCGGCCCTCACAGCCAAAAAACGGACCGGCCCACCGGGAATTCTCCCGGTACGCCCGATTAGCCAATCCGGGCCTGCTTTAAATTACCTTCTTTTGTGCAATAAAAGCAGGCAGGTTTGAATTAAGTGAAAGATAAATGACAGAATTTTTAACTTCAGAAAAACTAAACTCTACTGTTGGCTAACAGGCCCAAAATGACCTGCATGTTGCAACCATCAACAACCGGGACAAAAACTTAATTTTTGAAAACTTGAAGCTTGATGACGAGAGTGACGAGATGATCCCAAGGTTTCCATATCCGGGACCATGCCATATCCTGAGCTGCTGCTGCGCTGATGGTCATGGGAAGTGGAGAACATGAGTCTGATTCCAGCGACGCTCCAGGGACAGACGAGACTTCGCTGAGGCCAGCTTCCACTGCGGTGACTGAAGCTCTGCACAAGACTTTTGGCCAGCGGAGAAATTAAAATGGTCGTGCCCAACTGAGTCTGGTTCTCTCAAGGTTTTTTTCCTTCACTCCTATCAGGTGAAGTTTTTTTTCCCTCTCCGCTGTCGCCACTGCCTCGCATGGTTCAGGATTGGTAGAGCTACGCATCAATGAATTTGCTCTTCAGTGTTTGAACTCTCAGTAATGATTTTAAATCACACTGAACTGAGCTAAACTGAACTGAACTTAAACACTAAAAACTGAACTACACTGTTCCAGTTACTATGACCATTTATGTGAAGCTGCTTTGACACAATCTACATTGTAAAAGCGCTATACAAATAAAGCTGAATTGAATTGAATGACCTTTTTCTAAAACAACCCCAACATAAAAAATAAACCATTTTCTATTTTCATGAAGACTGTACACATATTGTAGGGTTCAACTGCACTGTAAAAACCAATTAGTTGCTTCACTTGAGTAACGTAAACAAACCTGTTGGCTTAAGGCTGATTTATACTTCCACTTCAAGTGACTGCCGTGATCCACGGTACCTGCCTTGCGTGTAGTCGTGCATTTATACTTCTGCGTGCTGGTTGTGTTGCTCTGCAATAACACTTCTGAAACGCTAGCTGGCAGTAGGTTTTGATGTTCCTCTGTGAAAGGTTCTTTGTGTGTGTGGGTGTTTTTATTTTTTTTTATTTGCTACTTTAAATGTACAAGTAGCTAAAACTCGCTCATTCAGAGGCGGGAACCAGCGGACATGCAACAGCTTTAATCAAAGTAAACACAAAAGTTTCCATCTGGAGTTCCTTCACGAGACTTGACACTTGTACACTCGCTCTATCAAGCTTGCGACTCTCAGCACCGCCCACACTCATCACCGCTACCAAACTGACTAATCACAGAGCTTGCGCTACATGCTGTTGCGTCATGTAGCTACATATTTTGAGAGGTGCGTCGTCAGAGTCATCGTCAACCACAGCAAGGGTTAAGCGACCGCACAGAGGCTGCGCTGGACCATACGCGTGCTCTTGAGGCAGAAGTATAAATTAAGTTGACTTTACCTACAAAAGTGAGTAAACTTGTTATAGCTTGGAACTATTGGGTTGACTTCATTTTTATAGTTTATAGTTTTTTTTTTTAATAAATTTAAGGCAATGCGTTGTTTACTCAATCACAAAAGAAGCAATGGGTTTACTTATGTTCTTAAAATCAACAAACAGCATCATTACAATCATTACAGCATCGATATCACAAAGTGTGAATCTACAACAGTCACATCGGATAGATATGCAGTGTTGAGTTGACTTTGCAGTGTTTTTTTTACATTTAAATATATAAATCCATAAAGCATGCACTGTTAATTTCACTTTATCTTTGCTTTATTGCATTTATCTGTGCTTGTAGTTTGTTTATTCCATTTTATGCATGATTCATTCCCCTACAGAAGCATCCCAATCAAAAATGAATACATTTAGTAACACTTTAGGAATCAATTCTCATTACCAATTCAATTCAA